TTCCTTCCTTCCTTCCTTCCTTCCTTTCTTTCTTTCTTCTTTCTTTCCTTTCTTTCTTTCTTTCTCTCTTTCTTTCCTTTTCTTCCTTTCCTCCTTTCTTATCTTTTTTTTTTTTTTAAGCGAGACATTGAAATAGTAGGGAGAGGGAAGGGGAAACACACACACACACACACACACACACACACACACACACACACACACGCCACCATCTCCCAAATGCAAATGCTTCTAGCCACCTACCTAAAGAGGAAAAATCAGCTGTCTGAAATGCAGAATATCAACACCAGGAGGTTTACTTAGGCTGAGGATTGGTAGTAGGTTTCTCTTCTACCTATGGAGAAATCCATTTGCCTAATAATACTGCATGTAAGGGGCCCTTTCTACAGAAATGCTTTGCAAATGTCTCTAAGATGTTAAGCCTTGGGAGTAGAGTTTAAAAACTCTCTCTCTCTCTCTCTCTCACACACACACACACACACACACAGGCACGCACATGCACCCCAGCTCATTTTTCCTGACCAGAAAATTTCATCTTTGTTTCTAATTAAAACATGACATTATGACATACACCATGCTCATATCATCTATTTAGGTGAGAAGAGAGGTGCTTTATTTGATAACTTTGAGGAGAAGGTTTTGGATTCAGACTATGCATGACAATTCGGGGCTGCCGTTTTAAATATCATATCCCTCAGGGGCAAGGGTAGTAGGAACAAGGTTTGCTTAGGGGTGTGCCATCTGTAATTGAACTCCAGTAAAGAGATCTCCTCTAGAAGACAACATACCCTTTTTTGGAAAAAAAAAATTCCCAAATTGTGGCAATTGAAGGAAAGTTCCTTGGATTCCTTTGACTTAATCTCGTAGGAAGACTACTGGAATCCAGTGCCAAAGGCTACTTCTAGCTTGGTGCATTAAAGCCTGTGTTGGTGTGCTTATAGGGAAAGCTTCCAAAAGCAAATCCTTTCTGGCAAACATCAGAACCACAGGTCCCCCCTACCCCCAGAAATATAGATATTGGAGACTGTAGAGTTTATTTCCTATACCCAAGACCTTTGTTTCTTTCATTCTTCTTTTTTCATTGTGGTCATGAGAAATAGCCAGAGAATAATTGTGCCTTTTTCTATGCTCCTGACAACCCCCACCCCCAAATGACTAAATATCACATATGTAGAATTTAAGTCCATGTACATCTAATGAAAAATCATTGTAAAGAGGAATCTGCAATCTGGCAACTGGAGAGAAAATGCTATCCATAGAAAACTGTTCTTACTCTGTGTGTCTGTATATCTCTGCATTGTGTGTCTTTGTAGCAAATATGTTCTCTACACAAACAGGAATGCAGCTCACACCATTTTATGCTCATGCACCTCCTGCTTTAGAGAAGGACAGGGGGCAGGAAAAGGCAAGAATAAGGGAAATCTGTGGTTTTAACTAAGGTTTTGTGACACTTGAAATCTCTTCTTTCACAAATTAATCTTTAAGCTTCAAGAAACTTGCTCTGACCCCTCTAAGGGAACTACTGAGCATTTAAAAGAGAATCTACTCTTTAAAGGTGTAGCACTTTTTTTTATGTGTTCTTCCCACAGAGGGTGCTAATATTGTTATCCTGTGCTATCTGAAAAGACTTTAAGGCCACAGTTCATGTCTCTTCCTGGCCATTGTGATGGATTAACCCCGCATTTGTAGTAGCTTCCCAGAGGATCAAAGTTCAGCCATGGCACAGAGGTTTTTTTCAAATATTTGTATGAAAAAAAAGTCCTTTCTGATGACAAATGACACTCTTACACCAGTCTTAGCCCCAAGTAGTCTTTTAGGTTGTGCCAGAGGGAGCAGGTTAAAGAATACCTATCCTTTGGCCTTCATTTAGAGAAAAAGCAGCCCCTGATGCTCAGACTTTAGCAGTGATGGTTAAGAACACCAGTCCAAAGCACACCCCATCCTCTCAAGACTGCAAGTTGCCATCACAAAGAAGATTATTCCAGTAAAAGGAAACCTTTTTTAAAATCCAGTTTTTATATTCTCCCAAGCGCCTCAAGTATTAGAGTACCTTACATTTCCTCCCTGCCTGCAGGAAGGCAGACATTTGGTATGACTTAGCATCAACAACACATTTCTGAGTATATGTAAATAATTAGAGGGGCAAATGCCACGTGTTTTTCCTCCCCAGTCTTGTAAGCAACTGCACACAGATCACTGGAGTGCTCAGGGGCTGCCTGTGTTTTTGGTTATGTTAATTGACTTGTTATCAAGTTTGGTGCCTAGTCTATCTGGCATCACCACATAGAAGGGGACACAGTGGGTCACATATTCTGGTAAAATAAAAGGCATCGGATACCTCTCTCCCAGAGAACATTATCAAAAGGCCAGAATGTATATCTTTTTTGGAGAATGGGTATTATAATGTTGCAGGGTAGTCAAAATAAGCATCCATTATCTCCTCTAGATAGGCGGTTATGTTGGTTGATTTGGGTTTTGTCATTGATGGAATGACAAATACCGAGGAGTTAGCAGGAATGTGACTATTAAACAGGCGCCTGAAATACATTTTAAAAGAAGTTTAGGGACACACACACACATTTTACATACATAACACAGATGTAACCATACACACATGCATATATTGCTGTATTCATATAACCACATGTAGAGCCACACACACAATTAAATGACATAACTACTTTCCAGCATTAATTGCCCTCCTACTTTCTTCTTCCATGATCAAACTGTTCCTCAAGAAAGGACCTGATAAAATCAATCACAATTAAAGTGTAAAGGTGGCTGATGGTATTTTCAGGCATCAGTTAAGGACTTGGTAGATGCTTTGCAGGCTGGGGGATCTTTTGAGCTCCTCTTGCTGTAGGGGAGTGTAAGCCTGCTACCTACTGGTAAGAGCCAGCAAATGGCAATGCATTCTTTTGAGAGTAACTTCCTAACTAATAAGTTCCATCTCAAGGTTAGGAAACATATTTCTCCATTAAAAATATTCTACTCTGATTTTTTCCCAGGGGTCCAAGCAGCAAAATTCTTAACTTGTGACTGGGCACCATCTTCTGGCTCTCCTCAGTAGACCCAGTTTCCAAAGGTCTCTGGTTTTTTTGCTCAGAGGCCATGGCCTGGCCACCACATCCTTAAGGTTTAGTCAGAGATGTAAACGAGATGGAGGGACTCAAATTAATTGAGTATGGGAGCCTTTGCCTAAATCCCGATATGTGAGCGATACAGGAAGAACCTGAGGTGTAGAGATGTTCAGTGCTTTGTGCGAGGTCACACAGCTCGTAATGGGGAGGAGCACTGGTATTCAGGTCCAGTGGCCTTTTCACTATACCCTATCTCTTGTTTCCTTGAATAGTTGCTCCCTTCCACTCCTCCACCCAGCAGAGCCTAGGATGACCTGGACACAGGGCACATGGTCACATGTTCTTGTTGGATGACGTAGGTACAACGTTTGAGTCTAAGAATTTTCACAATGACTTCGCTTGCTCTCGCCTCTGTTAACTGGCTAATGCAGGACTCTGCCAACAGAGGATACCTCTCCCAGGCTTCC